GAGGTAATCAGTCACCGACCTCTCCCAGCTCTTATCTCTACTCATGAATCATGAATCCTGTTTTTTTTTCCTCTATCCTCTGTCCAGTTGCAGAGGGAGAGTGAGGGAGAGGCTTTAGTGGGTACCTGGCATCTGGCCAGGGTCAACCCACTACACCATCCCTCATCAGGGCAAACACCCTCTCCCTGGCATTAATGGAAGCAACATGCCCATGGTAACGAGGAAGGGGACAGCACCCTCCACCTGACCATGCTGAAGGTTTAGGGGAGATCTTCAGCTGTGTCATCTCATGAAAGACCCTGGCTTGATGGCTGCTCCCGTGGGTAGGAGGCCAGGCAGTGATGGGAATACTGGTGAGCCCCAGTAAGTGCTGGGCAAGCAGGGAAGGCATCACTCCACCTGCTCCTCAGGGCAGGCACCTTGCCAAAAAAAGGGTCCTGACACTTTAGGAAAAGAACAACCCTAGAGCACCAGAGAGGGAAAAGAACCTGACAGACTGCCCAGGGGGCAGGGAGGAGGCGAGACATGGTCCCTGTGATCCTCAGCCTTGCAGCCAAGCAATTTGTCCCAGCCCTGGCACAGCACAAGGAATTACAGTGATGTAGCACCCTGATTGCTCCAGGTGAATTGTGATATGGATGTAGATAACTTGTCAGCATGTTTATGTAGCAGATGCCAATTTAAAGGGATGTCCACAGACATCTTTACATGCTGCTCACTGGAGTTCCCTGGGAATTACTGCTGACAGCTCAGGCTGGGGCACCACAGTGCAAGTTTTGCTGGGGGATGTCACAGAGACATGGAAGTGCAGGGATGTCCCACTTGTGTGGGTCCAGCACCCTCCTCCTAACCTGGGATCTCTGGAGCTTTGCCACAGGGTGGAGGGCTCAGGGTTGGAGGAGGAAGGCAGTAGGAACCAATTTGTTAGACCCCAGTTTTAAAGGTCCTTGGATTCAGGCGTGTTGCCTGGCCAAGACGTGGATGGAGCATTTTTCATGGCCATTTGGGTGGGGAAAGTCCCCCAGGATTTCTGTTTCCTTACCCGCAGGAGGATCACGGACCCCTGTGCAGTGTCTACTCAGGGTCATACTCAGCTCATCCTCCTCCTCATCCTCCTCCTCATCCTCCCTGAGCGGGACAGGGATGCACACTGGGCTTGGGAGAGGGCACCCATGTCCCATCATCTCTCCTCTTCCTGGGAAGCAGGGGACAGATGGATGAAGAGGTGTCAGGGGTTACAGAGACCTGCAGCATGACTCTGCTCCCTGCCCTGAGCATCACCTTCTCCACAGGGGAGCGGGGAGTCCTGGCTCTGCTGCTGTCCTGACACAGAATGGTGTGGCTGGGGAGAAGGTGCCACTCCCTTGATGACTGCCAGCTGTGCTGCCTCCACCAGTCTTGACCCCAGGGCACGTGGCTCTGCAAATGCCACAGGAGAGCAGAAGTGCCTGGATGTGCTGGGGAAGCGCCGGGACACCAGAGGCAGGGCTGCCCTCCACAGCCCAGGCAGAGATTTGCTTTGACAGGGCTGCAATGGGCAATCCCTGGGTGCAAAGGGCAACAACCACTCAGGTCTGAGCTGCCGAGTTACCAAGGTGGCTGTGGCCCCCCTGCTAAATGCACAGTGACCTGGGTGGGGCTCAAAGGGGGTACAGCCAGGCTTGGCTCCCTTCCTTTGCTGATCCTTCCTGTCTGAGCTGTGCTCTCCTCTCTCCACAGCATCTATAAATATCCTTCCCATCTCCGTGACAGCCCAGTGTGGGACCACAGCTGAGGGACGTGGCAAGAGACTCACCAAGGAGCAGAGGCAGCAGCATTGAGTGAGGTGGGAGAGGCACACAGCAGGCCCTGACCAGCTCAGGCCAGGGAGAACTGACTGGAAGCCTGGGGAAGGATGCAGGTGGGCAGAGAGGCCAGGGATCCTGGCATGATGCCCTCCATGCTGCTCTTTCCCAGTCTGTTTGGGGTTCCTGGGATGCCTTGTGGTCGCACATGGATCCTGCTATGGGAAGGGGTCTGCATCCCCAGCCAGGAGCACCCCAGGTTCTTTCTCAAGTGTTTGAATCTGTACCAGCTCCAACGCCCCTGACAGTGCCCAGCCTCCATGCACAGTGATTATGCACACGAGGCACATCCTGACCACAAAACCAATTGTCCAGGGAAACCAGGATGTCTGCCCCTACCCCCACACCCCTTCAGCACCCACTGTGTGTGCATTGCATCACAGTACACAGTTCACACCACCCCAGCACCTCTCTGCACCCTATTACACATCATCCTCTCTTCCCAGGGCTGACAGTGTACCTGAGAAGCCTTCCATTCCCTGGGATGGATTTGGGGCAAGCTATTCCAGAGTCACAGTGCAGCTCCTCTGGGATGCTGGGTCACAGAAAAGCCAAAAGCTGTGGGGAGATTCATTATCTAGTAGCTCTTGGCACTTTTGCAGGACTGGAGGATCCACGTTCCTGCGACACAGGAGGCTGGGATGGCATCAAGGGACTGGAGAGCCTGTGTGGGCAGCTGGGATGTGTTGATGATCTGCAGGGTGAATCTCTTGCTTTGGAGCATGGCACTGGGAGCACTGCAAAGCCAAAACTGGCTTCTGCCTTCCCAGAGCTTTGTCTCCAGAGCTTGGGACTGAGATCACCAAGTCATGGAACTGTTTGTGTTGAAAGGGACCTTGAAGACCATCTCATTCCAAACACCACTCAACAGACCAGGATGCTCCAAGCCCCATCCAACCTGGCTTTGAACAGTTCCAGGGATGGGGCAGCCACAGCTTATCTGAGTAATCTGTGCCAGGGCCTCACCACTCTCACAGGGAAGAATTTCTTCCCAGTATCCCATCTAACCCTGTCCTCTGGTAGTGGGAAGCCATTTCCCCTTGTCCTGTCACTCCAGGCCCTTGTTCAAAATCCTTCTCCAGCTCTCTTGGAGCCACTTTAGGCACTGCAAGGGACTCTAAGGTTTCCCCAGAGCCTTCTCTTCTTCAGGCTGAACCCCTCCAGCTCTCCCAGCCTGTGTCTGTAGCAGAGGGGATTCAGCCCTTGGAGCATCTTTGTGGCCCCATCTGGACTTGCTCCAATGGGTCCACATCCTTCGGATGTTGGGGCTCCAGAGCTGGAGGCAGGTGGAATCTCACAAGAGCCAAGTGGAAGATGGTGGCAGTGGGAATGCTGTTCCTCTGGCATGCCTGGTTCTGCTTGGGCACTGGGAACAGAGGGCTGAAGAATCCAGCACTGAGCTGTGACAAGCCCTTTCAGCAGAAGGAGATGTCCAGGTCAGAGCAGCAGTGTGATAGCTGGTAGAAAATCTGCTCTCCCCACCAGCTGCAGGGGTGAAACGACTGGAGCGTCCTCTGGGGCTTCCTGGTGGCTTGGGGCGATTTGGGAGACCATGGACCAAGGACCATGGACCAAGGACCTTGGTCCAAGGTCCACTGCAAAGACCACCATGTAGCTGCACCCCTGGCCCCACAGCACAGCTCAGCCTCTGCCAGCTGCCTTAGGAATGTCTGGCGTCCTCCCTGTCAGCTGTGTCCCCCCCTGAGCCGCTCTGCAAGCCCATCCCATGATACCGCTGATGACAGGATCTCTCCAGCACTGTCTCTGGACGGGCAGCTTCCCAGGCAGTCAGGGGAAAAAACCTGGAGGGACCTGAGGCCCTGTGCCGTTCCCAGGTCCTGGTGATGAGTGGTGTAGACGTGTCCCTGCAGGCACAATCCTCATCTGTTCTGAATGAGGAATTGTTGCCACCACATGCTGTGAGTCGGGCAGGGAGCCCCTCTCACTCCAGCATGTAGGAAGCTGCTGGTGGTGCCATGGGGTGCCCTGGGATGGGGTGCAGCATCTCCAGGGAACACACTGGCATACAGGGTAGAATGGAGGGTATGCAACACCCCTCCCACCCTGACCCCACTGAGCAAGTTTGAGGTGAGTTTTATCCAAGGTATGGCCTGACAGAGAGACAACAGAGAGAGGTGCTCATCCTGCCCCATGTGCCTCATCCTGGGGCGAGTTCCTGGGGCAGGGGAGAGCTGCAATCACGCATTGGTCCCTGGCTATGAGTGCATAGAGGAAGGAGCAAATAGCCCCCTGCCCGTGGCATAGGTGGGAGTCAGCATCTGTGGTTACCACAGGCAGGTATTAGTGATTGTTCAGCATTTAGATGGGGAAGCAGTCGTGGCCGCTGTAGGGGGTCTGTTGACAGATGTCGAGTGTTTAATGCTGAGCAAGGTACTCACCTGGCTTGGCAATTCTGGAGGCTTCAAGCAGGAGGGATGCAGAGGCTGTGGGAAGGATGCTCTGTGCTCCCCAGGAAGCCCAGACCCCCTGTCACAGGGCATCGGTGCCCAGTGCCCGGCCTTTTATCTGCCTGGCACAACTGCTTTGTCCTCCCAAACTGCTTTGGAAAGACCCTCTCTCAGGTGGCCAATGTGGCTGTAAACAGGGTGTTGTCAGTCCTGGCCCCGCTGTCCCCTGCTCCCACTGCCCCAACTCAAGGGCAAGCAGACAGTGTCTATCCCAGAACTATGTGGCCTGTAAAGCATCAGGGTGGAGGGTGTCCTACCTGTCTTCCTCAGACATGCAAGGGGACCACTTACAAGGGGTTTTCCTCTCCATGCACACCGGGACGGACGGGTAACCCCATCCCCTTCACACCTGACCCCGACCGAGTGCAGAGCTCCCTCCTGCAGGGAGCTGCAAGTTTGTGTCTCGCCGCAGCCGGCCGAGAGCAGCGAAGAGGGATGGGCGGCACGGGGAGCAGCGGGGACTGCTGGAGCACTGCGAGGGCGGGAGGACGAGTGAAAGTGGGGAGCGGGAGCCCGAGTCGGATGCCGGGTCTGGGTACAGCGTGCGCGTGTGGCGCGGGAAGGGGGGCTCGCTGCAGAGCCCACCCAGCCCATTGGCTTGCGAGCGGTGACGGGCAGGCTGCTCCCTCCCTGCTCGCTCGCCTGTGTGGCTGCGAGCAATGTGCGCAAAGTGCCTTTGCATTAGCCGGTGAGTGCCGTAGCTCTGGACAGAGGTAGCTCGCTCGCAGAGGTGCTGGGACGACAGAGGTGGCCCTGTCCCGCGCCTAGTGGCCCCGCCGGACCATGGCATGGGCACAGGGGGGTCTGACATCCTCGCTCTCCATCGTCATCACGTTGACTGCCTGCCTCTCTGCCACCACCAGCGAAGGTAGGAACCGGGGTGGCCCTGGAGGGACGGGGCAGTGTTGGGGGGACCCACGGGATCGCTGCGGCTGTTTGGATGTGTCTGCCGGGCTTAGGTCTGCCGGGTTTGGCTTCTCCGTGCTCCCAGGGGAACGCAGCTCCAGGTTCCTGCCTGGCTGAGTTTGCTGATCCTGGAGCTTTTGCACCAGAGGCAAAACTTTGGAGCTGGGCAGGAAGACCTGATTCTGCAGCAATGCCGGCAGCTCTGCCTCCCTCCCCTGCCGGGGCTCTGCTGCAGCACGCAGGGGTGGCTGCAGAAGGGACGGGGATACCGGCACCAGCCCAGCCATGGCGATCCCCACCGCCAGAGCTGGCAGCAGCGCAGGGCCGTGCATGTTGGCCGAGCAGCACGGGCTGGGATGGAGTGAGCAGGTGGGCATGGGAAGGTGTGCAGAGGATGCAGGGAGCTGGAAAGGGCACTCAGGTGGGAAACTTCTTGTGAGAGAAAGGGCTGGAAACTTCTGAAGTAGAAAGCAGGGATGCAGCCAGGGATCCTCTCCCGACATATTGGTGTCAGCCACATCAGGCCTGCTCCCTCCACCCGGCTGCTCTGCCCTGCTTCTGGCTGCCCTCATCCCTGGCCTTTGTCCATGTTCCTACTCTGGTGTCTCAGTTTTCTCTCTGAGAACTCAGCTTCGGCAGTGCTGCTCCTGCTCTTGCCACCCACCCGTTCTCCTGCCTCCCTCTGTGCTGGCAGCAGCGGCACGGCTGCTTCCTGGGTCTGCTGATCTTCATCACCAGAGATCTGCCGTTCCCGCTCCCGAGCGTGTCCTTGGCACTGGCAGCAGCATCCTTCCTCCCTTCTGCTGTGCCTGAGAGCCACGGCAGCTCTGCAGCGAGCCCTGGGGCCGGTGTCCCTACCCCATGCTGGCAGTGGCACCTCTCCCTTACCCTGCCCCTGCATCCCTGCCATCCTTCTGGCATGCTGAGGCCCCTGGGCTGGCGCTGCTGTGCCTCATGCGCTTTGTGGTGCCCCGCTGGGCCAGCTCCTTGTGCTTACTGCTGTCTTCCAACACACACCAGCACCTTCCTCCCTTCCGTTCCCCACTTCCAGTTATTTGCTGGTCCTAACCCTGTTTTCTGCCCACTGCCCACTTCCTGGCCCTCCTCCTGCTCCTTTCCTCATCAGCTTTCCTGCCCGTGCAGGGAGATTGCATTGGGTCTCACTCCTGGGCATGGGCAATGAGGGTGCAGGATGGGGCCCCAGCACCCTGACAACTCCAGCCCTTGCTTGGTTTCTGCTCTGTGGTGCGGGATGCTGCCCTGTGCCCCAAGCCCCGGGCAGAGAGCAGTGCAGGACGCTGCCCATGCTGCCCTGGGTGCTGCAGCCCCACAAAGCCAAACAGCCCTGCCTGGACTTGGCGGACCTCGGGCATGGACAAACCAGGCTGGGGCCTCTTTGCTGTCTTCTGCAGAGGAGATCACTGGCTGCTGGGGTGGATTTTATGGTGTCTGCACGGACAGCCAGGCCTGGGTGCTGGGTGACATCAGGAAAAATTGTGGGACGCTCCAGCAAGCTGTTGGTGCTCTGTCCTCCGCCCCTGAAGATGCTCCTGGCTCTGGATGCTGTGGATCCTGTGCCGTGGGACGGGGCAGCTCAGTGCCAGCCGGGCCCCGCAACACGGGTGGTGGAGCTGCGGGTGTGGCTGCAGGCTCCTGCCAGCTCCCAGTGTCCCAGGGTGCTGGGATGGGCTGGGAGCAGCGCCCGTTCTGGGGCAGCTGTGGTGCTGGTTGTTGAGCACCCTGGCACGGAGATGGGGCTGGAAATGTGGGGAGATGCTGCAGAGTGCAGCCCAGCCCTGGGGTCTCCCACACTCCAGTCGTGCCAGGCGTGACCACCCCATTCCTACTGCACATGGTGCACGCGGGCACGGAGTGAGGGCGTCGCCACGGCACAAGGGTGCCCCGTTGCCCGTCACCTCTGCCTGCTCCCACAGCCTCTCCATGCCCTGCATCCCTGGCTGTGCTCCCTGGCAAACCCAACACTGGTTTGAGAACTGCAGGGTAGAAAATTACAGCCGCAAAGCAGACTTCAGGCCGGGTGTGCTGCGCTTCGCATGCGCGTGTTGGGAGGCAATTTGTGTATAAAAACACGTATTAACCAAAAAAACCAGCCTCAATCCTGGGTTTTTTCCTCTTCCAAGAGCTCCCAGCGCCTTTCTCTTTCCTGAAAGATTTGTTCCAAGAAGTTTTAAGCTCATATTTTTTTATTCCTTTCAGTCTTGCATGCGGTGGGTACCCAAGAAATAGGAGGAAAAGGGAATCACCATTCCATGGGAATCCCCCATTTCGGCACGGCAGCCATTGCAAAATGCATCGAAAGCCAAAACTCAGATTTTTTTTTTTAATAGATTAGTGAAAATTTGCAGGACGTGGAAGACTGTTATTTGGAGCACTGTAAAAAAGATTTGTCTGAAATTGTCAAATTGCTTTAGAGCAGGGAAGTATAAAAGTTGTTTTTAATAATATGAAGATAGTGTGAGAGACTAAAATATTTACACTATTGCACACTGAGTTGCACAGGTGAAAATAATAAAGTGGGTGTTTTATATGATACCACAAATTGAAGTTAAATAATAAAATATGAAATATCTTTGTTGTATTGAAAGAAAATCGGACGAGCAGAAATTACCACATTTGGAGCTTGGGCAGGGGGTAAAAAAAATCATATTTTCTGCCAAAAAACGGCACTTAAATGCTGCTGGTGGGATCTGCTTCCTCCGAGGTGATGCCCGTGAGGCAGACAACCTTCATCCCCATCACAGTGCAGACCCCATGGCCTGTGGGTGAGCTTGAGTGGGACTGCCATGCAGGAAAGGGGGATCTGGGACATCTCCCCCAGCATTTTGGGGCACGTAGGTCTGGACGAGGCGGACAGCAAGTGATAGGGACACAGTGGTGATGTACAGGGGAGGATGCAGAGCTGATGACAAGGGGATGCTTGTCTTCTCCTCGCACCACGGGTTTGGGGATTGAGGTGTTGTGTTCCTCCACTCAACAGGGATGGATGGGGTGTAGGAGAGCACTGGGATCCTCAGGAAATCCCGGCCGCTTGCCGCGCTACCGAAACGGGGGCCAGAGGAAGGGTCCGTGGCGGCCTCCCCCACTAATCTCTCATTGTAATCTCATTAATTGCCTCTCTGCTCAAACAGAAAAACTCATCTGCACATTTATTCAGTGCTACTTTCCTACCCCTCTGCAGCGATGCTGAAGTCGGGGCCGGGGGAGAAGCAAAGCGCTGAAAGGGAGAGGAAATCGCCTTTTCTGTGTTCAAAAGGCTGTGGGGATGTGTGTTCCTCTGTAAGAATAGGAAACAAGAGAGTTTAGGCATACAGACTTCTAGTGATGGGAGATGGAGAAGGATTAGTTTAAAACAGGGAGTTGATTCGGGCTATGCTTGTAAAAAAAAAAAAAAAATTTGGGGGTGTTTAATTTTTTTTATTTCTCCCCAAAACGCTGATATAAAGCATTTGCTATAAAGCATGCTGATATTGCTTGATTTTAGGTAGGCTCACGGGGATATATTTCTGGGTGTCATCTTCATTTCCATCCTTCCTGTATTAACAGCTTATAAAACTTCTGAAAATCAAGCCCCCAAATTTGCAGAAAAAAAAATAACATGGCAGCGCACAAAACACACCTGCTCTGTGAGGTTTTTCATTCTCCTCGAATTCTTGTTTCCTGAAATCACGAGGAGTTTGTTTCCAGTGACAATAAATGGGCACCCATCTTGGCGACGGTGAAAATGGATCTGATGAAGCCCAATTTAAGTACAACCGAAAACCCGGTGAATTGCTACATGGAAGAAAGAATTCCCTATTTTTTTTTTTTTTTTGCTTACTGAGAAATTATTAGAAACATATTTTACCCGAAAAGAAAAGCAACGACTCGGCGGCAAACCCCAGCCCCAAAAGATGCTCAGGGAGAGGAGGGAGAGAGGAGGGAAGGAGAGAGGCTCATCCCAGGCATCCTGCCGGGGTTGGTGAGCGGGTCCTGGCAGGCAGGACCTGGGGAAGTGGGGGTTTCACTGAGACATCCCGACACCTCTGCTCTTTGTTCCGGTTGGGTCCCGTGTTCCGCCCGTGTCCTGTGTTCTGCCGTCCCCACCGGCCTCGCTGGCAGCCTTTGGTGCTGCCTTTATCTCCAGGGAACATCCATTCATATGATAACTCTATTCATACCCTGACAGTTTTTTGATAGTTCATTCTCCCAACCCAGCCTGTTCGCCTGGCCAACACTCAAAATGATTCCTCTCTCACAGGGAGGTGATTAACCCCTTCGGCCCTGCTAGTTCAGAAGTGAGTGGTGGGATCAGCCGGGTGTTATTTCCTTCAAAACTAAACAAAACCCCCCGTGTCTTGCCCACGCCAATGTGCAGCACTCGGGGTCATAAATAACAACATAAGATGTAACTCCTTAATTGATCAGATCCAGGCACACCAATAAAGCCTAAAGAAGTGTGTTTGGCCCAGGAACTGAGTCCAGGAAAGTATTCGCCTTTTATCTGAAGGCATCCGCAAAAGCAGACCCAGCCCTGCCTTTAATAATCCCTTCCAAGGGTTCATCAGTCCCAGCCTTTAAAGATTGTCCCTCTCTTTCCCTAATAAAAATTTGCCTGGCTTCACCTTCCAGCCATTTGTTCTTGTTAGGCTTTTCCTGCAGGATTAAAGAGCCCATATTTTTCAGCTGTGAAAGTGTGCTGAGCGCACCCGGGCACCTCTCAGCCCTCGCGGGCATGAGCAGATTGGGCTCTGCAGGTTCCCTTCTGGGATATTTTTTTACCTCCAGCCCTGGTATCACAGTTGTGCCTGTGGTGTTTTCTGCTCTGTCTCCAGTTTCTCATATTTAAAATGCTTATTTAACCACATCAGTGAGTGGTAACAAGTGCTGGCTGCAGCTGGATCGACCAGCTCTGTCCCAGCTCTGTCCCAGCTCCATCCCAGCATCAACAATGAACAATGCCAC